AGGTACTTTAGAAATGTATGGTAGATAACTTCCTATAAGTAGGCCATCCCGAGGAATCTGATTCCTCACGCAAGCAATACAGTTCATTTGTCTACCGCAATCTCCAGAAATCTCATTGGTCCATTTGGTCGGCGATGAAAGCAAACCAAATGATTCGTAGAGAAAAAAAAAAAAAAGAAAAAAAACGAGAAGCAGAAAAAAGGAAAAGCAGATGCCCCCACGCGGGATTGAACCGCGGACCTCATCATTTCACATGAAATACGAGTGATGCGCTCTACCACTGAGCTATACGGGCTGTACACAGTCCCACAATTGTTGTGATGATGTTGACAGTATTGTAACATACATAATTACAAGATGAACAGAATGTACTTAGCTATATTGCACCAGACAAACCGGCACCAGACAAACCTACACCAAACGTCAATTTTGACCGAAATGACTATTGGCAAATTTTGAAGTTTCAGCACTGCTGCCTGGGAAATGGATAAAAAGATATGCTGGTGCGCGGCTTGGCGGGTTGTTGGTCACTGGGTTCGGAAGTTCGGGAGTTCGGAGCTTGTGATTCTTCAACAACTGCATACTTGGCCTGGGGATTTTTAATTCGTATCATCAAAAAGAAATCTTGCGCAATCAAATCATGGACGACGATGCCCTTGGAACCTTTTACTATCATCATCCCGCAATTGAACCTACTATTTCCCACAGAGACCTCCGTCGCATCCCGCTGGATAACGGAAAACACTCCTGGCTTTCATCAGAGCTCATCGCCGATTTAGGTCTCCTCGGCACACTGCCGAATGAAATTGTTTCTCAAATTCTTGAACAAATCGACCTCCCATCGCTCACCAGTTTTCGCCAGGTGAATCGAATTGCCATGAAAATTCTCGACAGTTTACCTGCATACTCTTTCATTGCAACCCGGTTTCCTGCCATCCTCCGCGCTACAATATTGACCAAAGCACAGAGTTGGACATTGCAAGACCTCTACGTTCAACTTCGGCACCTCCGTGGTCCCCGCGACAAACCAGCTTGCACCACAACCATCAAAGGAAAATCCTGCAAACATCCAGCGGTTTATCTCTGGTTACTGACGGGCAAATGTTTCTGCAACTGCTGCTATCACGCACAAACCCCGCTCGACACCCTTCAAGTCCTGCGACATATGTCCATGTGCGGGCTGTTACCGTTCAGTAAACCAACTTCGCAGTGGGAATCTCCCGAGCAACTCAAAAAACACCTTGATAGTCCTCAGATAAAAGCCATCCTCTCTACAATCCCACATTGCAACCCGATTCCCACAATCTTTGGCCGCTGGGACCCTTCAAATTATGACTCGGATCAATACGAACCAGGCGAAATAGCCAGTATTATAAAAGATATTAAATCCAAATGGCCAGAACCTCTGATACTCTACGACCGAGAAGCAGTCCACGCAAAATACATGCCACCCCCAAAAGATTGGTGTGGATCTAGGGAATCAGAATCTCATAAAATAACCTGTGTGTGTGAATGGTATTTTATTTATTATTTTGAGGGCATCAATGCGCATCCGGAGGGACCAATGTATGAGCCTTCGACTTTGAGACAGTCTTTATGTGCTGTTAGATTGGGGGTTGCGAGAAACAGGGACAGTGAGCAATGGCCTCCGAGGAGATTGCCAAAAATGTGTAAGGGGTTGAGGATGAGGGGAAGGATGTATATGAATTGGTCTGGGGATGGGGATAGGGAGTATTTTTTGAGGGGTGCGAGTAAGGAAGAACTTTCAGAATGGAAATAGCTTCGTTTGATCAGGGGGTGAGAAAATTTGCTCACATGTTCGGAAGTACGGCCCATGGGTTCAGTCATTGTAGTCTGGGCGTTCACTCAGACAAGGCTTCTTGGATAATTATCGTTGAGGGATTGGTTGTGGGACGTCTAAAGTTCTTACGGGCTTCGAGTTCTTCGGATGAGGCTATTCTAGGCGCTGACAAACCTCCCGGAGACAACGTCATTTCTTTGTGGTCTTGCCGATCTCTCAAGCTATGTATGCATGTGGTTTTTTCTTTTGCTTACCAGAGTTGGCCCTTGATCCCGAATCGCATCAGTTGACTACTGCATCATGGGTCACATCGTTGCTCACTTTGGTAGGGGTCAAGGTACCTTTGCATTTGTCACATTGATGATGAAGGTATAAAACCTGGCGAGCAGCCATTCAGTGACAATGATTCTATGGTGGTGCTTTCTTTGGTGTTTTGGTTTCTTCTGCCCCTGTCAGGAACCAGCAGACGCCATGGCTGATCTCATCCAAATCTTTGTCTGTCTACCATCTTTCACATGGGCATTGATCTTCCAGATTCTCCTGGTTGGTCTCGTTAGTCTGATAGCATACAGACGGTTCTTCCATCATTTGAAGGATATACCAGGGCCCGCGTTGGCCTCAGTCTCGTGACTATGGCGCATTTACCATATTCTCAAAGGAGACCAGAACCTCGCTCTCATCGAGCTTCATGAGAAATACGGTATGTGTTATTCACAAACACCAAGATTCTAACTGACAGACTAATCCCACGCAGGCCCCTTCATCCGTCTTGTACATGACGAAATCTCCATCTCCCACCCCGACGGCATCCGTAAAATCCTCCTCGCGCCCTTACACAAAACCCCATGATACAAAATGACTGCAATTCCTGATTATCGTTTCCAAACCCCAATGTCAACTACCGACCGAAAGAAAAAACTTGAACGATCCCGTACCTTTGCCCCCGGATACTCTCTCACCAACGTCCTTCGCAACGAAGCAGCAATAGACTCCGTCATCTCTTTATTCCTCGACCACTTGAACAACTTCTCTACTAAAAAAAAACCCCTGCCATCTAGACAAATTCTTCACATTTACAGCATTCGATATCGTCGGTGAAATCCTCTTCTCCCAACAATTCAGTTTCCTAGAACAAGGCAAAGATGTAGGCAACGCAGTAGCAAACTCATTAGCACTAAACGCCTATGCAGCTGTCGCTGGCTTCTTCTTAATTATCCATAGAAAACTCATCGCTAACCCTGTTATAACCTGGCTGAACATTCTACCATATGGTCACTTATTCGACACGACAGTCCAAGCACTCAACAAACGATTAAGATCCACAAAGAGTGAAACTAAGGAATGTATACGCTATTGCAACTAGAGCAGTTGGTGCCGAAAGTGATACTGTTTCCACCGGGATGCAGTCCTTTGTTTATCATATGATTAGACGAAAGGGTGCTTGGGATAAATCAAGAGAAGAGATTATGAGCTCACAACCAGAGGAAGGGCGGTGTAAGGATAAAGTGGTGAGTTTTGGGGATGCGCAAAAGTTGCCGTATTTACAGGTGTGTTTGAAGGAGGCATTGAGAGTTTTCTCTCCTGTTCCGATGACGTTGCCTAGAGTGGCAGGCAAAGAGGGTGTGGTTATTGGGGGGGGGGGGGGGGTTATTTTGCTCCGGGGACGATATTGTCGATTAATCCATGGGTTGTGCATCATTCTAGTGAGATTTGGGGAAAAGATGCCAAGGAGTTTAGACCAGAGAGATGGTTGGGGGAGAATGAGGGAGTTGGTTCATGCCTGTGAGTTCTTTTTTGTGGCTGTATCAGTTGGATGAAGACTTACTGACAGAGAGATTTGACAGTTTGGACAATGGTATCAATCCTGTCCTGGAAGACATGTTGCTAGAATTGAAATGAGTAAGCTTGCTGCTACTTTGGTTCGGGATTATGATATTCAACAGGTTGATCCCGAGAAGAACTGGGAGTGGAAGGCGTATTTTACTGTTGTTCCGGAGAAATGGCCGGTGTATATCAAGTCGAGGGCCACGTGAGGGGCGAGTAAATAGCTGCAAATGAAGATATTGGCATCAAACAAGAATTTTCTCTCTGTGGATACCTACCATAAAGGCCTTGTTCCATGACTCAACATCAACAAGCATCAAGCCAGGCAACTTGGCCGAGCGGTCTAAGGCGCCACGTTAAGGTCAACCCTTAATAACTATCTTGCTTTCAAGATTCCGTGGTCCGAAAGGGCGTGAGTTCGAATCTCACAGTTGTCATTGATCATCACATCTGCTCAATGTGAAAATATCTTTTGAAGATTTTTTCCCTTTTCCTCGTTTGTGTGGATCCACAAGTGGGTCTCTTTCCGACATCCATCAGAATCAAAATTTGTTGAACTTTGGAATTGACGCAGAAATTTTTCTTTTCTTTTTCTGCTATGAAGAGACCTCAGGATGATGATGTCTGCATATTTGAGGCCATTCGCGTCTTGGGCATAAAGAGGTGGTAAGGTGTTTTCGGGAACACCGCAGCCTCAGGAACCACCCAATCAGTGCCCAACACAGCAGGTTTCTTTGATCCGCATCTGAGATTGATCCTTTTCTCGGAGTCTGGAGATGCAGAAGCAGCCTTAACCGACCCGGGGTTGCTCGGTTCCTGATTCCGCCAGATTGCATGTTTAAACTTTTCCCAACATTCGATGACTCGGAATCTGCAACTGAACCTTGTCAGGCCGGAAGGGAAGGGAAGCAAGGATGCTCCAAGAGGAAGGATTCGAAGAATCTCTGGCTCGCTGTCTCCGTCCCACTTTTTTGAATTGAGTATAACCCGCCCACTCTTTTGTGACCAACCCATCATCCGTAAAGAATTGCATGTTAAAGAAAATCAAGATCATTGGGCACGAGAACAGAAAAGAATCTATCAGCACTGCATTTCAACAACCATCTCCGACAGACCGGAGATTGCATTGACGTTCTGCCCATTATGATCGAGCAGTGAGATTGTCGACAACATGAAAATGGCTTCCGTTACATCACATGATAGTTACTCAGCGAAGGGAAGAAAAATGCTCCAGTGAAAAAAAGAGGTGATGAAATATTAACCGGGCAATTACACAGCAGCCGGCTTCCACCGATCATTCAAAATGGAAAGTCGGAGGTTGAACAACCTGCAAGCGGCAAAATCAGGTTGCACTCAAAAACACACAAGTAACTGGCTCACTGGCAATGGAACGGTGCAGAGCGGGTACCATGCCAATATCTTTGCATGTGCAACGTTTAACTGGAATGCGGGGAGTTGCAGAGAAGGACGGAATGATCTGCAAGGAACGATGCAAGCAATGTAAATTGATAATGGAATTGTAATAAGCGAGACATATTAAATGACATGACCTGGCGCCCCGAAACATTGACGATGTATTTCGTCACTTCCTTTGCTCCCGGACAAGCGGTGGTGCAAAATGCATGTCAAACGATTAAGCACCGCCCTTTCCCTGCTTCTCGTCGGTTTGC